ATTGTAAGAAGGCACTGTGAAGGCAATTTTTTTTTTGTATTTTTCTTGTAAGGTATAGTGAAGAAACAATCTTTTAAATCAATACCTGTATGGGTTATCCTTTAGGCAATAGAGAAGGCAAAGGAATTCCAGACTGTAGAGAGTTCATTGGCTGAATCACCTTATTAACAGCTCTTAGGTCTGTCACCATTCTCTATTTTCCAGATTTCTTTTTAACAACAAATTCAGGAGAATTCTAACAGCTGGTAGATTCAATATGCTGAGCATCTAGTTGCTCCAGTACCAGCTGTTCTGAAGCCTGCTGTTTCTCTACTGTTTAAGGCCATTGCTTAACCCATACAGGTTTCTCTGTCAACCATTTTAAAGGTAGGGCTGTTGGTGCCTTTGAAATATCAGCAGCTGTTGTGCCCTGTTCTTGTACAACCTGAATGGTTGATGACTGTTCTTTATAAAGTCTTCTAATATTTTTCCCAGAAACATATATTAATTTATGGTTTGTTTCTAATATCAGGGTAATGTTAATCTGAATATTCCATTGGTGTAACAAATTATGTCCCCACAAATTCATTGCTATGTTAGCCACATATGGTTTTAATTTTCCTTTCTGACCTTCAGGCCCCATACATTCAGCCCATTTCATGTTCTGCTTTACCTGAGATAAAGTTCTGATCCCTCAAAACTGAACATTTAGATCTTGAAGAGGCCAGTTAGTATGTCAAGAGTCTGATGAAATTATTGTTATATCCGCACCTGTGTCTATCAGACCTTCAACGACAACATTATTTATTCGTAATTTTAATTTTGGTCTTTGTTTATTTACAGAAGTTTGCCAAAATACTCACTTTATGGTTTCTCTTGAATATTTTGTTTTCTCTTCTATAGCTGTTCTATCATCCAGAGCAATATGGTTTCTTAAAATAGGCATTAAGTTCTTTAATTGCTCTGGCAAGGAATTTCCTCTACAATGGTAGGAAGTAATTGAACTGCATTGGACATGGGAGCCTGTGAGAGGCCGCCCTACACAGAACTTCCACAACAACAAAAGATTACCTTGAATGTTCCTTGACCTACATTCATTAGTTCAGTGCCTGCCTTTGCCACACCTTCTGCATAATCCACAAGGGAGGGGCCTTCTAAATGGTTTATTCTTTGAAAAAACATTGTTTCTAGGAACATCCTGTCTACAGTCCCTTTTATGGTGACCTTGTGTGCCATAATTATAACACTTGACATTTCTATTTTTCTTCAAATCTCTAGAAATCACTTCTCCTATCCATGCATCATCATGTTCATGAGATTTAATATTAATTGTATCTTGAATCCATTTCTCCAAAGGTGCTGGTCTTGCCTTCAATGGCCTAATTATCTTTTTGTATAGACAATTGGCATTTTCAAAAGCCAGAGATTCAATTATTATTTGTCTAGCTTCTGAAATAGGTATTATTCTATTTACTGCTGATGTCAGTCTTTATAAGAAATCTGTGAAGGTTTCTTTTGGGGCCATGTATGGCTTGAGTAAATGATTCAGTCTTTTCTTCTGCTTCTTCAATTCTGTCCCAGGCATTCAAAACTGCTACATGGCATAAAGCCACCATGTAACCATCATTGAGAGATTGTCTTTCTACAGTAGCATAGTTTCCTTCTTCAAGAATTTGATCTTTGGAGATTTCCATACCTCTAGCTTTACTCTGTTCAATATTCTTGGCCTCTTCTCTGAACCAGGTATGCCACTGTAATTGTGGACCAGGCTCTAAAACATGTTTAACCAATTCTTTTCAGTCTTTAGGGATAATTCTATTACAAACTGACCATGAGTTTAACATTTGCTTCACAAAAGATGAATGCATGCCACATAAGACTATTGCTTCCTTGAATCTCCTTAAATCTCACATTGGCACAGGAGTCCATGCAGCTCTTACTCTCTATCATTTGGCAATTCCTGTAAAGTTACTGAAAGTATTAAAGTTGGTTTGAAAACCTTAGGATGAAAAAAAAAAAAAAGAAAACCTTAGGATGTTCCTCTCTGTTCTTAAAATGTAACGCTGAAATTGGTTTTCCATTAAATTCCTCTGTCTGGATTTGAATATCTCTGGGATCTGTTTTATTAAGTTTTTCGAAGGCCCTCAGATTAACCAACTTCTTTAGTGATACAATAAAAATGATAAAGCTGATAATGTTTACAATTGAAATTACATAAATTCCATCTAAATTAGATCTCCTCTCCATTTAACCATTCTGGTTTCAAACTGTCTAGCATATTATCTTACAGAGACATAAATCCCTCCATTGTAATGTTTTTTTTTCCCATTTTTTAATGTGGGAAGAAACCTCTTTTAACCATTCTCTTTAAGAATTCCCAATTGTCAGCTGGGCAGTGGTGGCGCATGCCTTTAATCCCAGCTTGGGAGGCAAAGGCAGGCAGATCTCTGTGAGTTCGAGGCCAGTCTGGTCTACAAGAGCAAGTTCCATGACAGGCACCAAAGTTACATAGAGAAACCCTGTCTCAAAACAAACAAACAAACAAAGAAAAATCCTAATTGTCTTTCCAAATGTACCAGTGATGTTGATGAAGATGTGAGGCTTGTTGCTGCCGCGTAAAACATTAAGAGTCTGAGTGGATTTCAAGACAGCTACCTAGTTTGGCAGCTGCCTGAGAAGAGGTTCTGGGAGAGCCTGCAACCCATGGTAGAGAGTGGTAGGGAGAGAGACACAGAGAGAAGGGGGGTGGAGAGGAGAGAGAAAGCAAGCGAGTGAGCCGGCTGTCTGAGAAAACATTGGGGCAGGGGGAAGCACATGTGGAGGGAGGTTTCCTGAAGGCAGAACTAGCCAGTGTAGGGCCGGTGATTTCCTGTGGCATTTGGAGCCCAGATACTTCTGGAGTTTGGGTGTTAGCTGGAGACTATTTCAGAGAAGCTACATATACAACAGGAACATCTCCAATTCTCTCAGATTCTTGGGGAAAAAAGAAAAGAAAGCCTAGCTGGGTGAGACTGAAACATACAGCTCTGGCTTGTACTAATGACTAAAAAGTGACAGGCAAATGGCTTTTTCAGAAATTTGTACCCTAAACGTTGGGCACCATATGTAGCATGAATAATTAAAACCCAGAGACAGATATTTGAGTTCAACCTGAAGATCAGAAAAGCAAAGAGCCACTAGAGAGCTCTTACCTCTATGAAATCTTCAGACTGAAAGAAAGAGAGCGAGTTCATGTCTTAACCTGCCTTATATTCCTTTCTAGTGCTGGAATTAAAGGCATGCACCACCACTGTTCTGTCTATGGAAAACTAGTGTGGCTACTAGGGTTAAAAGTGTGTCACCGTTGCCTGGCCTGTATGGCTGATTAGTGTGACTGTTTTGTGTTCTGGCCTTCAGGCATGCTTTATTTATTAAAATATAAATGAAATATCACTACAGAGGTTGAGTCAGGTGCATGCATTTCTCCAGACATCATGCTTTTGGGGGGGGTATAATGAGAAGTCTGAATGGTAACTTCTAGAAGGAATTGGAAGAAGCAGTCTGTTTCACTGTGTTTCTCTTGCACTCCAAAAGAAAATGAAATTCTCAATATGTTTGTGGGAATCCACTTCCTAAAAGACTTGGCTTGGATCAGGTGTAGTGACACATGTCTTTAATCCTAGCACTCAGGAGGCAGAGGCAAGTGGATCTCAGTGAGTTTGAAGCCAGTCAGGGCTACACAGAGAAAGCCTTTCTTGAAAACCAAACTAAAACAACAAAAAATACCTGGTTTAGAGACTTAATGATCTTGAATAGGTAGCAACAATCATAAATGATCTATATTGCAAATGATTATAAATATCTTAATTTGGACTGGAGAGATGGCTCAGTGATTAAGAGCACACTGTACTCTTCCAGAGCACATGAGTTCAGTTTCTAGCACCCTTGTAAGGTACATCACAACCTCCTATAACTCCAGCTCCAGGGAATTCAGCTTCCTCTCTTAGCCTCTGTTCCTGCACCCATGGCACATGCTTACACAAAGACATGTATCCATACACATTATTAACACTAATTTTTTTTAAAATATATATATATATATATATATATATATATATATATATATATATTAGTTTCCACACATATTTTTAATAGTTACCTTTGGATCAAATAATACCCTAAGTTTAGAAATGTACTGCAATGTGAAGGATTTACACAGAGCAGAATAGCGAAATGTCTAGATGTGCCAACTACCTGCCGTGTTAGAAGGATTACCTGTCATGTTAGAGCCGTTCCTTCTCAAGCTTAGTGGAAGTCCCTTTTGCTGGCCCCTGTACACAAGTTTAAAAGCAAGGAAAGAGGGGCAGATGAGCACTTGTATACATACCCGACAACTTGAGTTCAATCCCCAGATCCCACAAGGTAGCAGGAGAGAACTGACTCCTGAGAGTTGGCCTCTGACTTCCACATACCCACAGTGACTAGTTTATACTCACATACTCGAGCACACTCACACACTAACTGACATAAATGAATCAAATTAATACATTCAAAGAAAAGGAGGGCCATGCTAATTGGAAACAGTTGTTTGGGGTAGTTATCTTCTGTGGAGAGAATCAAAGGGAGGCTTTTGCTTCTGAACATGGAACAAATGAGATGAATTGCTGCCTCATCTGTGGGGTGAGAGTTATTAGGAATAGTCTAGCTTTTGCCTCATCAAAATTAGGATGCTGATTTTTAAATTTAATTTCTGTCCTGCATACTTCATAGATGCCTGCTTATCCTTCCTTCCTTTGTGATAGTCTAGGCAATGTGGCTTTGCAGAGGCCAGTGTCCTTGCTGTCCTGCTTATTCCCCTGTCCCCAACACCCTTTTATTTCTTTTAGCTTTTCAAAGTTTAATGGTGCCATTTTACTGTGAATGAAGTTTCTGGAGAGCAGGCTATTATTGCCTTCCTAAAGAGGGACAATTAAGTAACACCTGGTAGTTTAGCTCCGTTTTCAATCTGTGGTAATGTGTTTGTCTTATTGTTTTTGATCTAGGATGATCTCAAAACTTGAAGCTCAGGTGAAACAAGTAGAACATGAGAATATGCTGAGTCTTCGTCACAGCGCTAAAGGTCCCACGAGGCCACCCCGGGCCAAGTAAGTGACTTCACATAGTGTCCTTGCAACAAGGCTTAGTGTGTGCCTCTAATGAGACCTCTGTTAATTAGGAAGCCAGAGCTAAATATCCTTATGGTCATAGATGTGCATTAAAGTCACAGTCGCTGGATGTCATCAGATCCCTATAAAGAAGCAGTTTCAGGGCTTAGAAAAGCAGAGTTAGGTGGGCACTGTGTTCTTGATGCGGTGTCTCCAGTGCTCTCCACATCTCTTACTTTTTAAAAGACCTTCTTTTTCCATGTAGGCAACTTTATTTATTTATTTATTTATTTATTTATTTATTTATTATGTATACAATTTTCTGTCTGTGTGTATGCCTGAAGGCCAGAAGAGGGCGCCAGACCTCTTTACAGATGGTTGTGAGCCACCATGTGGTTGCTGGGAATCGAACTCGGGTCCTTTGGAAGAGCAGGCAATGCTCTTAACCACTGAGCCATCTCTCCAGCCCCTAGGCAACTTTTTAAAAAGATTTATTTCTATTGTTTTTTAAGTATGTGTCTGTGTGGGTATATGAACTTGAGTCCAAAAGCAGGTGACAAGTTCCTGGAGTTAGAGTTCCTGGAAGCTGTGAGCCACCTGACATGGGTCCTAGGAGCTAAACTCAGGTCCCTGTGAATGATCTATGAGCACCTTTATTCTCTGAACCGTCTCTCCAGCCCTAAGCCATTTTTAATGAGAGTTATAGATGAGATTATTTTATTTCTATGTCTTTTCAAGTGTTTCTTCCTTCTATTTGCTTTCCATCATTTTCCTGCTTGGTGAGATTTGGCTCTCCGTTCCAGAATCTTTTTGTGTTCCTTGTTCTTTGCTGAGATAAATGCCCATATGGACAATTGTTCCATTAACCTACTCTCCACTGTCCCATTTCAATGTGGATGACAGCTGGGCATGGTGGCATATGCCTCTTTAATCTCAGTATTTAGAGGCAGAAGCAGGTTGATCTCTTTGAGTTTGAGACTAGTCTGCATAGCAAGTTTCATTCCAGCCAGGGCTACATAGAGAGACCCTGTCTCTAAAACAAAACGGCAAACATCAATGTGAATAGCATATTTTTTTTAAAAATATTTATTTATTTATTATGTATACAGTATACAATATTCTGTCTGTGTGTATGTCTGCAGACCAGAAGAGGGCAGCAGACCTCATTACAAATGGTTATGAACCACCATGTGGTTGCCGGGAATTGAACTCATGACCTTTAGAAGAGCAGGCAATGCTCTTAACCACTGAGCCATCTCTCCAGCCCCATATTTTTTTTTTTTTATAAACTTGACTGATTTGCTAATCTGCTGCCCTTTGTAGTGTCCTCCTACAACCTGAACCTCATCATTTTTTTCTGATGGGTGTAGAAGACATCGCCCTGCCGCCCAGATCTTTGAAAAGAAGAGAAATAGTTGGGAGTAGTGGTGTACGTGGGTGGCAGAGGCAGGTGGGTCTCTGAATTCAAGGCCAGCCTGGTCTACATAGTGAGTTCCAAGACAGCCAGAGTTACATAAGAGACCTTGTCTCAGAAAAAAGAAAAAAAGAAAGGAAGGGCCGGGTGGTGGTGGTGCACACCTTTAATCCCAGCACTCTGGAGGCAGAGGCAGGCAGATCTCTTTGAGTTCAAGACCACCCTGGTCTACAAGAGCTAGTTCCAGGACAGGCTCCAAAACCACAGAGAAACCCTGTCTCGAAAAACCAAAAAAAAAAAAAAAAAAAAAAAAGGAAAGGAAAGAAAAATGAAGAAAACCCTCGGGGCTGGAGAGATGGTTCAGTGGTTAAGAGCATTGCCTGCTCTTCCAAAGGTCCTGAGTTCAATTCCCAGCAACCACATGGTGGCTCACAACCATCTGTAAAGAGGTCTGGTGCCCTCTTCCAGCACCAGAATATTGTATATAATAAATAAATAAATAAATATTTAAAAAAAAAAAAAGAAAACCCTCAAGTGTGGGACGCAGCCTTGGTTTGTTTTATGGTTTCTGCTTCACACACACACACACAAAGGAAAGAAACCTATGATTTGTCTCAGCAGGTAAAGACAATTGCCACAAAGTATGATGACCTGAGCTTAAACCCACATGGTAGAAGGAAAGAAGCAACTCCTAAAAGTTGCCTTCTGACTTCCACATGTGTGCCAAGACATGCATGTGTACCCACCTCACAATTTAAAAATTAATAAGTCTTAAAACAGTAGATGTGGTGGTGTATGCACTTACAGGCCCAGCTCTTGGGAGGTGGATATAGGAAGATTAGCAGTTCAGGGTCATCCAGTTGATACCAATCCTAGGCTATGTAAGACCTAGTCTCAGACAAATAAAAACATAAACCAAACCAAACCAAAGGTAAAAACTGAATTTCTGAGAATAAGCAAAAGAAGAGGCATAAGGTTGGGTAGGAGGGGAGTCTCTCAGTGGGTTGGGATGCGAGGTGCTAGAATTTTGTGGGTGCTGTTAATTCATACTGTTACAGGCAGGAGGCAGAGTGAGTGTATGGCCTTCAAAGGCCTGACCCCAGTGACCTCTTCCCACCAGCTAGGCCCCATACCCCTGAGGTTCCCTGAGGTTCCATAATCTCCCAAACAGTGCCACCATCTCAGGACCAGCTGTGAAAGCACACGAGCCTGTAGGGGACGTTGATATTTATGCCATGATGCATGGCTTAGACAGCCACAGCAGGAAGTTATGCAGCCTCCGTGAACTTTCTAATCACCATCAGGCATTTGGATTTTACCCTAAGTCTATTGAGAATCCTCTCAAAGATTTTTATTTTATTTTAGATTTTTGGGGGTAGGGTCTGTCTGTGTAGTCCTGGCTATCCTAGAACTTACTATGTAGAGTTGGCTGCTGGGGTCCTTCTACTTCTTTATCCTGAGTGCTGGAATTAAAGGCATGTGCCATTGTGTCTGACAAGGATTTTAAAGATCTATATTATTTGTGTGTGTGTGTTATGTGTATGTGTGTGTTGTGTCCATTTGCCATTGTTTACATGGAGGCTAGAGGATAACTTTCTGGAATCAGTTCTTTGTTTCTACCTTTACATGGACTCCACGGCTCAAACCCAGGCCATTAGTCTTTTGAGGTAAGTACCTTATGTATCGAGCCGTGATCTTGTCCCCTGAAGATTTTTATTAGAAAACAATGCCATCTGACTTTTGCTTTTTTAAAATTCTTGCCATGAAAAAAAAGAGATGAAACAGGAGAGCATGGAAACAGTAGATGAGTTAGGCCATTTCAGTGCGAGGAGAGCAGGTTTCTAGGTATCTGGATCCGTAAGAATGAGGCCAGGGAGGCAGCTCAGTGTACAGAGGTGCTTGCTACCAGGTCTCACGTCCTCATGGTGGAAGAGAGCCAACTTCAGAAGTTGTCCTATCACTTCTACACATGCACCGCAGCATGTCTGTGCACACACAAAATAAATAAGTGTAATAAGAATAATATTTTTAATTACAAGAAAAAAGAATTTGAAAGGTTTTGGAGGTGTAATCCACAGAACATTGTTGTGTCTTGGCTGGTGAGGCAAGAGATCGAGAACACCAAAGGCTGCCATGTGTTGAACTGAAAACAAGATCAGAGTGCCTGGCATGGGAATGTTTGCTTGGGATTCCCACGGACTTGAAGCAGAAATCAAGTGGGCAATAGTAAACTTAGGCTTGGAGATCCAAACTCCTAAGTTGGAGGTACAATGTTGGAGTCAGTTATTCGCCAGTGGTGCTTACAGCCACAGGATTGATAGGAACTGAGTGTCAATGGGAGTGGGCATAGGACAGAGCTCCCAGGAACCCTACTTCTGTTCTGGGTAGAGGAGTTTGGCAAAGGAGCCTGTGAAACTCCTGCTGGAAGTCAGGAGGGAAATTGAAGCAGCCATCAGTTAGAGCAAGGACTGACAAGGCCTCTTGGATTCACAAGCTGGGGGCTTCTTTGACTCAGGAGAGTGTGGATAGTGAGAGAAGTGTTTGAGGTATGTTGAAGACAGCCTGCACATCGAGCAGCTGGAAGTGTATATATTGTGATATGCTTATTCGGGGTGGTCGTGTGTGAAAGGAAGGCTTGGCAGACTGTAGCCTTTAGGCCAAGCCAGGCTACACCATCATGTTTTGTGATGTGTATGACTGAGGAATTTGAAGTATTTGGTCAGGACTGGGACTTTTGTGGCTCAGTTGGTAAAACACTTACTTTACAAGCTAAAGGGCCTGAGTTCGAGCCCCAGAGCCCACATGAAAATGCTAGGTGTGGGACTGGAGAAAGGGCTCAGCAGTTAAGAGCACTGGTGTCTCCTTCAGAGGACCTGGGCATCCACATGACGGTTCACAAAGGTCTGTAATTTTAGTTCTAGGAGAGCTGACACCCTTTTCTCAGGCATGCATATGGTACATAGACATACAGGCAGACAAAAACACTCATGCATATAAAATAAAATAATAAAATTTAAAAATGCCAGATGTGATAGTGTCTCTTTTAATTCTAGCACTGGGAAGTTGGAGATAGGAGGATTCCTGGTACTCGCTGGCTGTCACTCTAACCTAATTGAATTCCAAGGCAATGAAAGGCCCTGTCTCAAAGGAGGTGAACAACCTTTTTGAGGATGACATCTGAAGTTGTCCTTTGGCATGTGAATATACATACATGCAAAAGAAATATTTGGGAACCAGGTGGTGGTGGTGCACACCTTTAATCCCGGCACTTGGGAGGCATAGGCAGGCGAATGTCTGAGTTCAAGGCCAGCTTGGTCTATAGAGCTAGTTCCAGGACATCTAGGGCTGTTACACTGAGAAACCCTGTCTCGAAAAATCAAAATAAAAAAAAGAAGAAAAAAGAAAAAGAATATTTGGGGCATGTCTTTAATCCCAGCACTCAGGAGGCAGAGACAGGCAGATCTCTGAATTCAAGGCCAGCTTGATCTATATCATGAGTTCTAGGTCAGCTAGGGCTAAAGGGCTATCTATATTTTGATATTGATGTAAGGAAGAAAAAAACTGATTCGTTTACATACCATCTTCCAGCTTTTGCATGACAACAATGAAGTTGAGTAGTTGGTGATGAATATTGTTTATCCTGTAAAACCTAGAATAATATTTTTTTCTTTTGCCTTTTGTAGAAAAAGGTGTTACAGATGTCTCATCTGGACTGTCAATTTGTATTAATTTTAAGAGTATGATATAGAACAGTAAAAAACTGTTTGAGGAAGAAATAGAATACTTTTTTTTTTCCAAAGTGCTGATGGCTGGGGTTGGTGAGATGGCTCAGTGGGTAAAGGCCCTTGCCGCTAAGCCTGAAATGAATTTGAACCCCGGACCCACATGGTGGAAGGAGAAAACCAACTCCTGCAAGTTGTACTTTGAGCTTCCCAAGTGCTCCATGGCATGTGCATACCCTCCCCAATACATACATCTATAAACAAAGTAAATTTCTGAAAAAGAAAATCCATAAGCATTTATTTGGGAAATACAGTTTACTAGGGTCTTTGTATGTCAATGATCCTTCCACATTATAAGATAACCAAATGTTCTTTTTTTTCTTTTTTTTAAAAATATTTATTTATTTATTATGTATACAATTTTCTGTCTGTGTGTATGCCTGAAGGCCAGAAGAGGGCGCCAGACCTCTTTACAGATGGTTGTGAGCCACCATGTGGTTGCTAGGAATCGAACTCGGGTCCTTTGGAAGAGCAGGCAATGCTCTTAACCACTGAGCCATCTCTCCAGCCCCCCAAATGTTCTTTTAAGTCTATACCAAGTCAAGTTTGCATGCTTTCCAGGTAAGCCGTGTTTCTTCTGTTATTCGTAAAGTAACCTGAAAATATTACACCAAAATCTACTGAGCCATCTCACTGGCTCGTTCATATGTGTGTCTGTGCCTGTGTGTGACTTTTATTTTAATGAACAAGAAAAATAAAGGATGAGTATTCAGATTACAAAATATCTATCACAACTCAGTAAGAAAGAGACAATTTTCTCCACAGAAAAATGGTGACAGGATGTGAAGCTGCACAGAAACAGAAAACAGCCAATAGCAGTGAAAAGATGCTTATTGTCCTAAGAAACCAGGAAAATGCCAATTAAAGTAATAGTATGTACCATTCCCATTATCAGACAGGCCAGACTTAATTTGTTCCAAAGTTTGGCAAAGGTGAAGAAAGGAACCCAGACACCAATGGCTGACTACAGGCGATAGCGCTTGTCTGAGGATGATTTGTCAGAAGACTGAAGGTGATGGCTGCACCCCATATTTTATGGTTGTGTTTTTGGAAATTTAGGTCACTTCTTCCACATGTTAATTGTAGCATTGTTGAAACAGCATCTACCATCAGGAGACACAATCAGACAGGAGAAATGACTGACAGCTCTGCATGCAAACATGAATAAATCATGAACATGCTGTTGCAGAGAAGACGTATTGAAGGGTGTGGATAGTGTGCCCTTGTTTAACAAACGCAGCTATACATATGTATACAATGTTATGTCTCACAATTAAAAACAAATATGGCCAAGATCTAAGCATCTGTTAAAACCAAGAGTAGGTAGGTGGGTGCTCGTTGTATTTTCTGTGATTTTCTAAGAATGTTCAAAATGTTTCTTCATTTAAAAATTGAGGGAAGGGCCTGGGGTGTAGCTGTGGCCAAGAGCCTGCTTAACAGTACACAAGGCCCTGGGGCAGGTCCCAGCTCACCAAGAGATCTTTTTAAGGATAAGAGTGACCTGGGGTTAAAGTGAAAATCAAGGGAGGTTGTGTGCCTTTAATCCCAGCACTCAGGAGGCAGTGACAGATGGATCCCTGAGTTCAAGGCCAGCCTGGTTTTATAAAGTGAGTTCCAAGACAGCCAGAAACCTTTAAAATAAGATCCATTTTTTTCAAGTATAGGTTGCCCATATGTGGTTTCTAAGTCACTGTGCAAATATGTAAGTCAAACTTGGGAATGGGTTGTTCTGATATAAACATTCTAAGTTGAAGTGCAAGGCGGGGGGGGTGGGGTTGGAAAGATGGCTCTGTGGTTAAAAGCACTAGTTGCTCTTCCAGAAGACCTGAATTCAATTCCCAGCACCTATATGGTGGCTCATAGTTATCTCTAAATCCAGTCCCAGGGCATCTAATGCCCTGTTTTGATCTTGTTGGGCACCAACACACATATGCGCAGACAAAACATCCACCAACGTTTTATATACATAAGTTTTCTTAAAATTGAAGTGCAAACTTTGTGATGCCATGGAATGTTTCCTTACAGCACACTGGCGACCTCAGATGTCAGTAGGAGGAAGTGGCTGATTCCAGGAGCAGAGTATTCCATTTTTACTGGGCAGCCTCTGGACACCAGGAAGACAGATAATCAGCTGGAGGAATCCCGTGTTCCTGGGTGAGAGAACCGCTGAGGTCGGTTGAGGAGTGCTTTCATAGAGACAGAACTGTCTCCTGCAAAGGAACTAGTCAAAAGTTGGGCTGTGTGGAGGGGGCAGGGTCAAGAAACAGTTGTTTTGGGGTTTCTGCCTTCTCTTTGAAGATGGACCTGAGGTTCTTCCTGGATTAGGAGAGTGGACAACTCAACTGTCTTTTAGAAGTAGGGCTTCCCCGCTGTGGAAAGGGGGTACCCATTCTAGACAGTGTTGATGAGTAGATGCAGCTGGGTGACTGTCTTCCAGCAAAGCTCAGCTGTGAGGGTAGACAGGATGCCTTGGTCGAACTCCTGATCTTCCGCTTTTCACCCCACCCCCACCCCGTGCTGGAATTCTAGGACCATTAATTTTTTACTAGTTTAACTTCAACCTGGTTTAGGCATTTTGTTTGATTGTTTGTATAGAAAGCACTTGTAGCAGTGGATCCATCTCCCCATCCCTGAGAGGCTAATGCTTTTTTTTTTCTTTTAAAGGATATTTTACCTTCATAGGTTCTGCAGTGCTTCTCTGTATGCTCAGGGGCATAGTGCAGGCTTGTTAGGACAGTGGGATAATCCTGTCACTCTTGACATAGCAAGCTCAACTGTGTACTCTCAAAATCTTGACCATCCTCCTGCTTCAGCCTCCTGAATGCTGGGGTTGCAGGCCTGTGTGTGCCATCAGGCTTGACTCCCTCCCTCTTTTCATGAGGACCTTCCAGCCCATTGTGGGGCTCCTCCTTATGACCTGTCTGATCTTCATTTCCTTTTAAAGGCCCCCAATTCCAAATGCTTCCAGCTAAGGTTAGGCTGTTATCTGTACATTATGGGATAGGGACATGCAAATGTTCAGCCCACAGCAGTTAAAATTGCAGCTACTGTTTTAGATACCATTCTCCTCCAGAAAAGGACTCTTCCCTTGGATGTTCACCTTCAAGCTTATTGATTAAAAAGCAGAGGGATGCTCCAGACGCACCGATTGTGAAAGCTTTAAAGGAACTTGATGATGAAAGAATATTTAAGAATTGGGGGACACAGACAGAGAAAGAGGATACGTCAAGTAGTAAGTATTTTCTTTTTAATTTTAAGATTCATTGATTTTATTTTACATCTATGAGTGTTTTGCCTGGATGTTTGTATGTGCCTGTGTAAACCTGGTACCCATGGAGGTATCAGATCCTCTGAACCTGGGATTATGAATGTTTGTGAGCCGCTGTGTGGATGTTGAGAACTGAACCCAAGCCCTCTACAAGAGCAGTACATACTTCTGATGGGCCATCTTTCTAACCCCTCTAAGTAGTATTTTGTTCCTTATTTGATATTGGAAGAGATATCTGCCCTTTTCCTTAATTTTTAAAAATCAATCTTTCTTTCTTTCTTTCTTTTTCTGTTCATTTGTTTGTTTTGTGTTTTGGGACAGGATTTCTCTGAGTAACAGTTCTGGCTGTCCTGGAAATAACTCTATAGATCAGACTGACCTCAAACTCATAGGCCTATCTCTGCCTCCTGAGTGCCCTGATTAAAGGTGTGCACCTCCTCCATCTGGCTCGTTTTCCTTAATTTATGTTATAGTCTTTAAAATTAAATTTTCAGCCAAGCAAGGCAGTGCGTGTCTTTAATCCCAACAGAGGCAGAGGTAGGAGCTTGAGGCTAGCCTGGTCTACATGTTCCATAGTGAGAACCTGCTTCAAAAAATAAGATAAAATTCTCAGGTAATGAAATTAAGTCCTGATTTATGATACTGCTCCAACCCCATTTCTTAGATAACTGATCCTTAATAATAATTTATCTTTGTCCTGGCATATCATGTACCTTTCATACGAAGCGAACTGCATATTGCATTTGGTTATTTAAAAGGCCTAATGAGATGGCTCAGTGGTTAGCTGCACTTGATTTTGCAGAGGACATGGGTTCAGTTCCTAGCATCTACATGGTAGCTTACAATTGTTAACTCCGGTTCCAGGGGATCTGATGCCTCTACCATCTGTAGGCACCTGCAGTCATGTGCACATACCCATATGCCGATATACACACCTGCATATAACTAAAAATCATAAGGAAAATAAGGTTCATGTGAGCTGGGCTGTGGAGGCGTATCATTCCACTTCTATCTGCTAAGTAGGGGAATTGAAATCACAGCCTGCCTGGGCTACAGAGTGAGTTTGTCTACATCTGTTTGTCTAACTTGCATGTGTTGGGAAATTGTGGCAGTCATCTGATATTCATAAAACAAGGGGTAAGATGGCTGGGGGGTGGGGGGATTGTCCCAGCATTCAAAGGCTGAGGCAGCAGGATCCAGAGTGTCAAAAATAGAGAAAAACCAAATTTTTTTCCTATCTTCCTTCTTTTTCCTGGTTACTGAGCATCTCTAGAGAGTAAGAGGAATTTCTTTCAAGGTGTTCTTTCCCCCAGGTCTAGGTGCTTCTCTCTGTTTCTGCCCTCTATCCCTATCTCTTCACCCCACAGCTTTTTCTCTTTGCCCTCCATTCTCTCTCTGAGACAAGATTTCACATAGCTTGGAACTTACTATGTGCTGAGGGTGAGCTTGATTTCTGATCTGCCTCCACTCCCCAGTGCTGGGCTGACAGGTGTTGACCACTGTGCCTTGCTCCCTTGGTCCTCTATTTCCTGTCATGCTTGCTTCTCAGACCTGCCAGGCACACCCTCAGATCTGTGGTGCTGCACCCTACAGCTGGTCTCCTAGTAAATAAGTTAGTACCCTGCTTCCTAAAGATGAGTTCTCTGAGCACTTGCCTGAGTGCAGCTGTGACAGGAAGCCTCCTTCCCAGCACTGCTGTCGTCACAGTGAGGGACATGTGCAGACCCTATTACAGCCTAGACAGAAGATGCACTTTGAGCGTGCACTCAGTGGAGGGCCTTGTAGGGTAACAGCTGTGACAGAGCAGATGGTGGAAACCAGGTCTGCCTTATTTTTTTGTGTTTCTCTGATACAGAATTAGTGAATCCTCGGCAAACTGAACCTTCAGTCAATACAGGCTGTTCCCCAGAGAAATGTGCCCAGCAGAGACCAAAGAGACAGAGTTCAGCTTCACAAAGATCGTCATCTCTCCCACCCTCCAGTCGTAAAGCCAACACTCCAAGTAAGAGATGTGTGTGCTTTGGGCTGGGGGGAGTGGCTTTTCAGTTGGCTTTCCTCCCCAACAGAGGATGCTGAGTACAGGGTCCCTGAGAACAACCAGAGAATAAGATTGTCTGAGTACAGATACCTCATTTTATGCCAGGCTTGTGGTGGAGGTTTGTCATCCCAGCTGTCTTGGAGGCTAAGGATCAAGGCCTGCCTGATCTACTGCGTGAATTCAAGGCTAAAATAAAAATAAAATAAAATAAAATAAAATAAAAAGCAGAAAGGGCTTGGAATGTAGCTCAGTGGTGGAGCCCTGGCCTAGCATGGATGTGGTCCTTAGCACCATAAGAAGTTGCTTTTGAAAGTTTAGAGCAGGTTGATCTCTTTTGAGCTCTAATTGAGAAAATTACAGAGGTGAGATGCTTCTTACATATCTGATGTCTGTCTTCCCTAGCTTTTCCTCCCCATAGTTCCAGGCTGTTCTAAAGCTTAAGCATTGACATTTCATGTCCCCTTTCGTACCCGCTCAGGGGAGTCTGTATCTCCTGTGTTCATGAGCAGGCACTGCTGCACAGCGGTTCTGCCTTATTTCCACTTGACTTCTAAAATCCTGAAGAACCAGTTTTGAGCTACAGTGCTGAGACTATAGTCTGGATACTAAAGTGTCAGCAGGGATTGCCTGTAGATATTAGAGTTATGGGTTGTTTTATTTTCACTTTGTGTTCTCTTCAATACCATTAAGTTTTGCTATGGAATTTCTTTCTTCATTTTTTTTCTTTTTCTTTTCTTTTTTTTATTTTTTTAATTTATTTATTTATTAAAGATTTCTGCTTCCTCCCCGCCACCGCCTCCCATTTCCCTCCCCCTCCCCCATCAAGTCCCCCTCCCTCGTCAGCCCGAAGAGCAATCAGGGTTCCCTGACCTGTGGGAAGTCCAAGGACCACCCACCTCCATCCAGGTCTAGTAAGGTGAGCATCCAAACTGCCTAGGCTCCCCCAAAACCAGTACGTGCAGTAGGATCAAAAACCCATTGCCATTGTTCTTGAGTTCTCAGTAGTCCTCATTGTCCACTATGTTCAGCAAGTCCGGTTTTATCCCATGCTTTTTCAGACCCAGGCCAGCTGGCCTTGGTGAGTTTTCTTTTCTTTTTTTGGTGTTTCAAGACAGGGTTTCTCTGTGTACCCCTGGCTTTCCTGGAACTTGGCTCTGTAGACCAGATTGACCTTAAATTTGCAGAGATATGTCTGCTTCTGCTTCTTGAGTGCTGAGATTAAAGGCTTGCCCTATCACCACCTGGCGAATTTCATTATTTTTAAAATTAGGAATAAGTTCTGCCAGCACAAATATAGGTGGAAATCATATTTCTTCTCTGTTTTCCTCTTTAGCAAAAAGAGAGATTATGTTAACACCAGTGACTGTGACTTATAGTCCTAAGCGATCCCCTAAAGAAAATCTGTCCCCAGGATTTAGTCATCTACTTAGCAAAAATGAAAGCAGTCCTATTCGGTAAGTTCTGTAAAGTTGTTGAATTTTAAAATTTAAAAAAATTATTCGTTTTCAAGACATCTCATTGATTTACTGTGTGTGTTTGCATGTGTGAGCGTGTGTGCACGTCAGAGGATAACTTGTGGGAGTTGATTTTCTCCTACCAACATGTGGGTTTCAGATATTGAATGCAGGGCATCAGGTTTGGAGGCAAGTACCTTTACCTACTAAGTCATTCTATTGGCCTCATTATTGATTTTGAACCATCAATATAGCTTTAGCTATTACTGATTCTTCAGTTGTCATTGGGGATCTGTGGCCTTAGGTCATTTATGTGAATATCATATGTAACATAAAGTATCATATGTGAAAATAGGTTTGTTTGTTTGTTTGAGATGTGGTTTCTCAGTTTAGCTATGAGTGTCCTGGAACTCTCTCTGTAGACCAGGGCTAGCCTTGAATTCACAGAGATCCAGCTGCCTCTACCTCCCAATTGCTGGAATTAAAGGCATGTGCCACAACTGCCTGGAGAAAATAATTTTTCACTATGGAAACTTGCCATTGCTAGCTCTTAAATGCTGCCTCAGCATCTCCTCAGATTTTTAGATGTAGAAGGGTTTTTTGTGCTTCTGACAAGGCGTGTGATACAGGGACATTTTGGTGCCAGATGGTGAGTGTGAGGGTGGCAGGTGCCTATCTCAAGATGCAGTGAACCCATCTTGAAGTAGCCCAGCACTGAGTGATGAAGTAGGGAGAACCGTCTCCTGGTTCTAGACCCAGTGGCCTAAGCACAGCAAGCCTCACTTTCCCCTTCTGAATGCCTCTCCTGCTGTTCCAGAAGCTTCTTAGAGAGATTGGATGAGGCATGGTAGCCAGTGCCTTAAGTTTCTAATGTGGAAATAGAACTTCATGTCAGGAAAGACATTTAGTTTCAGCTTTGAAAATCATACAAGTAGGGCTAGAGAGATGGCTCAGTGGTTAAGAGCACCACCTGCTCATCTAAAGGTCCTGAGTTCAATTCCCAACAACCACATGGTGGCTCACAACCATCTGTAATGAGATCTGGTGCCCTCTTCTAACCTGCAGGCATACAGGCAGTTAGAACACTGTATACATGATAAATAAAATTAAAAAAGAAATAAAACTACACAAGTAGCTTTTTTTTTTTTTTTAAAGAAAATATGTGATAGCCAGGTGGTGGTGGTGCACACCTTTGATCCCAGCACTTTGGAGGCAGAGGCAGGTGGATCTCTGAGTTCAAGGCCTGCCTGGTCTACAAGAGCTAGTTCCAGTTTAGGCACCAAAGCTTACAGAGAAACCCTGTCTCGGGGGGGGGGGGGCTAAAAAAATAAAAAATAAAATAAAAGAAAGTGTGACTATATGAGTTTCTGGGGTGCCAGCTCAGCTCTCTAGTGAGTTGGGAAAACTTACTTCATGTTTTTCTCACAAGTGACTTGCTTCATTTACTAGATTTGATATCCTTTTGGATGATTTAGATACTGTTCCTGTGTCCACACTACAACAAACCAATCCAAGGAAACAGCTCCAGTTTCTTCCTCTAGATGACTCGGAAGGTATCTTTTCCTAAAAATTACTAGTTAGAGTGAGAGGCATTTGTTTTTCAAGATTCCAGTGTCTTTGCAAAGCTCTGAAGACGGCCTGTGCTTGCGCATCCACAGTGTGCTCGCTGTGTGTGTGTTGATGGACAGGTTGGGAAGCAGAGGTGGGGTGCTGATTGTCATCAGCAGGACAGTGCTGCTCAGCTCCCTTCACACTGTAGCTGATAAGCTACTCAGACTGTGGGTAGTTTTCATTTCACAACTTTAAACCTGGAATAAACTATAAGGTATATGAAGTCACTTGGTTAGGTCCTGATAATGTTAACTGTAAATATTCTTCAGCTGGGGGGAGGGTGGCACATATCTTTTATCCCAGCACTAAGGTGGCTGCAGCAGGAGGATTACTATGACTTCGAGGTCATTTTGGGCTAATTAGTGAGTTCTAGAGCAGCCTGGATTAGTGTGAGACTCTGTCTCAAGAAACTGGCATGGGGGAGGAAGAAAAGATGCTGCTTCTTTTCATTATGTTTTATGCCATATAGCAGTTCCTTTCGGGAAGTGAGGTTGAGCAAGATATGTATTCAGTCTAAGTCTATTAAACAAATTAGTAAAGAAACATAAGAAATTTCTTTCTTTTCTGACAGAACAAAAGTATTCAGAAAAAGCCAGTGATGACCCTGTTAATCATAGCTCTTGTCCTGAACCCTTGCCAAGTGGAGTGAAGAAAGTGTCTGCACGACAAGCCTGGGAGAAGAGTAAATCAGTTAGCCTTGAGCAGTGTAAGCCGGTGCCAGCAGCACTACAGGGTAACGATTTTGAATATACAGCAAAAATTAGGACCCTCGCTGAAACGGAGCGATTTTTTGATGAACTTACCAAAGAAAAAGACCAGGTAAAACTAATAAAATATAAAAAAACTTTTCCTGAACCTAATGCTTATGTCTAGAGGGAATAGTCACAAGGGAATTACTGAGCTGGACAAAGTGGCATATGCCTGTGTTTCAGCCCTTGGGAGGCTGAGGCATGAGGATCATAAGTTACAGCTTGGGTTATATGGTGAGACCTTGTCTCCAAAACAAACAACAAATCAAACACACAAGCACAAACCACTAACAGAAAAAAAGTCAAATATAGGAAGGGTATCCTAGTCACTGTTCAATTGCTGTGAAGAGATACCATGACCAAGGCAGCTCTTATTAAAAAACAAAACAAAAACCATTGGGGCTTGCTTATGGTTTCAGAGGGTTAGTCCGTCATCATGGCAGGGAGCATGGGGGCATATAAGCAGGAAGGTGCTGGAGAAGTAGCTGAGAGTTCTTTGTATATTTAGATGCATGCAGCAGGAAGAGCAGCTCTGGGCTTGGCTTGGGCTTTTGAAAGCCCTTTCCTAGTGACACACTTCCTTCAGTAAGGCCAACATCCTGATCCTTCTCAAGTACTACCAATCCTGATGACTAGCATTCAAATACATGAGCCTAATGGGGGCCATTCTTTTTTTTTTCCTTTCTGTTTTGTTTTGTTTTGTCATTTTTTTCAAGGCAGGGTTTCTTTGTAGCTTTGGAGCATGTCCTGTAACTCACTCTGTAGACCAGGATGGCCTCAAACTCGGAGAGATCCACCTACCTCTGCCTCCTGAGTGCTGGGATTAAAGGCATGCTCCACCACCAATGGAAGCCATTCTTATTCAAAGCACCACAAAGGACATCACTGTGTCAGACTTGTCATAAGGAATTCACCTTGTGGGTACAGTACATGGACACCAAAACTCCACCAGACATGCCCTTGAGCCACACGATTGTTATTAACTGAGTACATAGGGAACTATCTTAAGCCAAGATGGACAAGAAAATGCTAAGCTGAAATCTTTTCTTTCCCTTCTGTGTCAGAAATCTCAGTGCCAATAATTAGAATTCTTTTGTTTTTATTTGAATACTTTCTCTTGTTAACAGATTGAGGCAGCATTAAGCCGGATGCCTTCTCCTGGAGGAAGAATCACTTTACAAACAAGACTAAATCAGGTGAGACAGCTTAGCTGGGAGCTGCATTAGGGACTAGATAGACTCAGTGCTCTAAGAAGCATCGTAGAGCACGGTGGACTGTCTTAGTTACTTTTCTAGTGCTGTGATAAAATATCACGACCAAAGCAACTTATAGAAGGAAGCATTCATTTTGGCTTATGGTTCAGAGTGTTAGTTTGTGACGGCAAAGTGAAAGGTGGTAGTTATCTGTGTAATATGCACAAGGTGCTGGATTTTATGTCCAGCCCCAGTGATTAAAGAATGCCCATCTTGGGCTGGAGAGATGGCTCTGTGGTTAAGAGTGCTGACTGCTCTTCCAGAGGTCCTGAGTTCAATTCCCAGCAACCACATGGTGGCTCACAGCCATCTATAATGAGATCTGGTGCCCTCTTCTGGCATACAAACATACATGGAAGGAATGTTGTATACATAATAAATAAATAAATCTTGAAAAAAATCCCCCCCCCCCAAAAAAAAAGAGTGCTGACTGCTCTTCCAGAGGACCCAGGTTCAATTCCTACCACCTACATGGCAGTTAACAGCTGTCTGTAACTCCAAGATCTGACACCCTCAGATAGACATACATGCAGGCAAAACACCAATACAAATAAAATAAAAATAAATAAATTAAAAAAAAAAGAACGCCCATCTTTACTGAGCAGTGGTGGTATACACTTTTAACCCCAGCACTCAGTAGGCAGAGGCAGGTGGATCGTTGAGTTCAAGGCCAGCCTGGTCTATAGAGCAAGTTCCAGGACAGCCAAGGCTACATACACAGAGAGACCATCTCAAAAAACAAACAAACAAAAAGAGCACCCATCCTGTTATTAAGAATCATGCATTGGGGGCTGGAGAGATGGCTCAGAAGTTAAGAGCACTGGCTGCTCTTTTAGAGGTCCTGAGTTCAATTCCTAGCAACCATGTGGTGGTTCACAACCATCTATAGTGGGATCTGCTGCCCTCTTCTGGCATAAAGGCATACATGCAGATAGAACACTGTAGACATAATAAATAAATAACATCTCTTTAAAACAAAACAAAAGAAGAATCATGCACTGAAGTGGAGATTGTGGCTCAACACATGCCATCCCTGTGCTTTGCAGGCTGAGGCAGTAGGATTCCAATTTGGAAGACAGGCTAGGCTGTTAGATTCTGTCTCAAAAAATAAAACAGGTTTGGGATCTAGCTAGGTTGAGAGTTCTTGCCTGTTATATAAAACCCTGGGTTCCATTCCCAGTACCACACAAAACTGGGTATAAGGACTGAAGGTGTGGCCCAGTGGTGGCAGAACATTTCCTAGCATATGCAAGGCCCATGTTCATTCCCCAGTAACACACAGTAATAATAAATTGAAAAATTGGTTATAGAGGTGTACATATATGGTCCCAGTATTTGAGAGGTGAAGGCAGGATCAGAAGTTCAAAGTCATCACCAGCCATATATGAATTCAACATTGGCATGGACTACTTGAGATTTGTCTTTATTTATATTTATTCCTTTAAAAATTATTTCATATGTACGAGTGTTTTACCTACACATATGTCTGTGCACTACATGTGTGCCTGGTGCTTAAGGAGGCCAGACGAGGGCATCATATACGCTGGAACTGGAGTTATAACTCATTGTGAACCAACATGTAGGTGCTGGGCATTAAATCCAAGTCCTCTGCAGGAGCAGGAAATGCTCTTAACTACTGAGCCATTTTTTCATCCCCTACAGAGATTATGTCAATGAAAAGAGAAATAACCTGCTAATACAATTTTTAAAGTTTTTTTTTTTTTTTTTTTGGTTTTTCGAGACAGGGTTTCTCTGTGGTTTTGGAGCCTGTCCTGGAACTAGCTCTTGTAGACTAGGCTGGTCTCGAACTCACAGAGATCCGCCTGCTTCTGCCTCCCGAGTGCTGGGATTAAAGGCGTGCGCCACCACCGCCCGGCAATTTTTAAAGTTTTTTCTTTTCTTTTTTCCCTTTACATTAGTGGGTTTGGTTTTGGGATTCTTTTAGACAGGTTCTAGGCTAACTTTGAACTCATCAGCCTCCTGTCTCAGCTTCAGGAGTTGTGGGATTATAAGTGTGCATCAGCATGTCCAATTATCAGGTGTTTTGTTTTTTAAAACAACTCATAAAGAGTGTAGACAATGCAGATGCAAGTAGAAATCAACACAGACTTTCTGGAATGCAGAATTTATTTTGCATTACTTTGAACTGAAGCACTTCTTTTTTTTTTTTCTGTCTGCCAGTGATTGCAAAGTCAGTATTTATAGATACTGCAAAGAGATATGTTTAAGAAATGTACTGTGGCCTTATTTATAATGTCCAAAATTAGAAGCAACCTAAATTTCTACTGAAAGATTCCTGGTTAAACGTGTTACTTGTGAAGGAATATTGTACATTAATTTAGGAGGATATTGTTGGAAGATACTTTATAATATGCCAACTTTATAATATGCCAAGAAAGTTCAAAGGAAACTATTTGAAACATTCCATTCTGAGTTTTTCCTTTCTAAAAAGGATATACATATATATGAGGGAAACAGGGAAGAGGGTGCTGGTCTTTCCCTTTGCTCCTCTATCTTCTCAGTGTTCACAATGTATATTCAATCCTTTTACTAAAATTGTTGAATATAAAAATTTCAAGTTCTAAGCTGGGTAGTGGTGGTGCATGACTTTAATCCCAGCACTCAAGAGGCAGATGCAGGTGGATCTCTTGTTCGAGACCAACCTGGTCTAGAGAGTTTGAGGACAGGCAAGGCTATACAGAGAAACCCTGTCTCGAGGGGCCAGGGGATCAAGTTCTATTTCAGGATGGCATTTGTGTCAATACAGAATAATGATCTAGATTGGTAAATATATATTCCAGGTATCATTAACTGTACTTCATTATAACTGTGAACTCTTTTCTCCTGAAGTCTCTACTGTTTTTTCTTTTTCTTTTCTTTTTTTTTTCTTTTTTTAATGAGACAAGATTTTTCTGTACAGCCCTGATTGTTCTGGAACTCGTTCTGTAGACCAGACTGGTCTCAAACTCACAACCCACCTGCTTCTGCCTCCCAAGAACTGTTATTATAGCCCTGAGCCACCATGCCCAGCTTCAATAATGTTTTTAAGGGAGAAGTTTTGTCAGATAATTTGGCTACAGCTGCACTCAATATGCACACTTCTCTGGTGACCCATGGAGAGCACATTTGGGCTTCAAAATAGTGATCTCAAGTCATTACCACAACCCCTGGCTGTGGCTGCAATGCTGTGCAGAATTCTCGTATGCCAAGAGTGCCAAAACAGACCAAGGATGGTTAAAGTGCCGTGCTTATTTAGAAGGGTTGAGAAGCCGATTCATCGTTCAGTTTAAGAAAAATAGTGTTGGCTAGGTGGTGGTGATACAAACCGTTAATTTCAGCACTTGGGAAGCAGAGGCAGGCAGATCTCTGAGTTTGAGGGTAGACTGATCTACATAGCAAGTTCCAGGACAGTCAGGGCTACACAGAGAAAAACCTGTCTCAAAACAAACAAACAAAAAGAATAATAATGTCAATATGATGATTTATGTAGAAAGAAAAATCTGCCGTTTTGATTTTATGCTTGCTTTTGTGCTCTAATCAGAGGTCTGTAGGTGGCAGTTGGCTGTTGACCCAGAAGACTTGGTGTGGATTCTGTTGACACCTTTCCCATTACTTTTACCTAGGAAGCCTTGGAAGATCGTTTGGAAAGGATCAATCGTGAACTGGGTTCAGTTCGAATGACACTCAAGAAGTTTCATATCTTGCGCAGCTCTGCAAATCTTTGAGATTGGTAGCCATTAAATCTGAGACGTTTTTGTTTGCACTGATGTACAGTTCTACTCTCAGAAAAGACAAGCTTTTTTGTACTGTTTATAAGACTTCAAACAGTAGTTTTACAATCATGATATTCTTACACTTGCTATTTTATACTCAAATGGCCACATATTTTCAAGATATTTTCGTTATGCTCAGGAACCTCTTGTATATTTTACTATTTAAAAGGCATTATTTTTAAATAGCGTATGTCTTCAATTTCTGTCAACAATAAGGAAATGTAAACAGGAGGTGGCTTGTTGCTAAGGAAATAGTGTTATCCTTTTACAATGAACTTTGCACACTGATTTTATAAACTTGTTCTATATTGTAAGTATAATTCATTTTTAAAATAAATGATTCACAGCTTCCATAAGGATAGACTAACATTGAATACTAAAAAATTATAGTATAATTTGCATTTAGATTCTGTAGAAGTGTTTTAGAAATGATAACACAGTTTCTATGTTAAACTTATGCCTTGTAGTGAATAGTAGAACAGTTAAGCCAGCAAGATGGCTTAACAGGTAGAGGTGCTTGCCACCAAGCCTGAGGACCATTTTGAGTTCCCGAACCCACATATGAGAAAGAAATGACTTTTGTAAGTTGTCTTCTGACCTCTACATATACACTTCAGCATGTTCACACCCCAATAAATAATTAAACATAAAATTAATAAGACTTTTGAATACTGAAGAGTGTAAAAACTACATATAACTTGTTTGATTTCCCTGAAAATATTTTTAAGGAAAGAAAACAAAGATGGAGAGCAGCAGGTGGAGAGCTGGGGTTTTCTGCCCCCATCCAGGATGTAAGTTGTGGCACAGCTTGGACAGTTTCCAGGGTAGCTTCAGTTTCTATTAAACATAAAGCTTTAGCTCCCAAAACCATCACCCTCTTAACTTCACTGACTTACCACTCCACCCTTGCCAAAAAGAAAAAGACCTGCCTAGTAGCTGCTGTGATAACTGTTGGTCTGGGCTCAGAGCACTCTACTCTGCCTGATAAAGGACAGGATTTATGTCCAGATAGATCCTGGTGTCTTTTCCAGGGCCCTGCCGTGGCCCGTAGCCCACCACATGGGTGGCATTCCCTAGCTCTCTCTAAGAGCACTATGTGGGCAGGAGAAGCTTTTCTGGTCGAGGAGCAGCACGTATCTGTTTGTGTTGGGACTGTTGGTGATATCTGCACTGCTCACCCCCTCACTTCTGGAGACCACTCCGAACTCAACACCCATGTTCTTGGAATCTGAGCTCTCATAGTTGATTTCCAGGGCTAGTGCTCAAGGTTTTGATTTTGGTTTGCCTCTGAGTTCTTTCCACGTATGTAGCTCTTCATATATATTTATATCGAACCAAGACATGCCAGGAATCTCATTAAGGTGTGTATGCCTCAGCAGAACATCGGGTGGTCTTCAAGCATCTTCTGATCAAAGCTTTACCTGGCGACCGATTGGCCTGGACCCTGTCCTACTTGTGGGGACTCTCAGGTAGGAGGGGGTCCTTGGAGTTCACAGTCAGTAACCAGTGAAGACTTAATCAGGATTTCTTATCGTTAGAAGTGCCTTTATTCTTGGTTTTTCTGTTAGCCTTGTAAAATGATGTTACAGTAAAACAAGGTTAATTTTAATCACGCTCCTGTACAGCTTGTGTAGAGCTTTAAGGGGATGGGCTATTTCTTAAGATGTCCCTGTAGGTGACATGCAGCATTCACAGCTGGAGTACAGTACGCCCAGTGGTAGAGTGCTTGCCTTGCATGTGAGGTCAACAAACGACAACTCGAACAAGCCCACCGTGTTTTTGTTTATCTCATTGTTCTCTCCATTTATTGTACAGTCTACTATATTCTCAAGAAGCAGGAGATTGCCACTTCAGAAGAGATGGTAGCTTATCTTGCCAAGGAGTTATCTTCTTAGGTGCCTATAATTGGCTTATTCCAAAAAAGGCATTAAGTTCCATCAAAACATCTTCTGTGCTTCTCAGAAAGCATATGCTTTGGTTTTTGAAGTGTGTAATAGATTCAAACTATCAATTACTTATTTGAAAAAGAAATTTTATTCTTCATAGCTATGAAGAAAGACACCAAGGAAAATTCTTGCAGCTGTCTTTCCCCTTAGTAGTGCATATCTTAAGAACACTTGAATAACAATCAAGTTAGCCTCAAAGTGGGGAAGGTAGCAGTCTCAAAGAGCATCTGCTGCCCAAGGGAGGCAAACTGTTTCTGTGCTGAGGTTATGCTGCAGCTAGTAAAAATTAAACCACCAAGAACCCCAGTGAGTCTGAGGCTTCTGGGATGTGCCTTTGAAATGTGGAGATGTGCCCTTCCTTCTCAGAGACCAGCTGCAGACCTGGTTACACCCTGGCTCAGGCTGGCTTCCTCACTTTATAGACCAAATGATAGGGGATCCAGAGGGGGCCAACAGGCCAGTGCTTCCTTAAGTGTGTACCAAACAGCGTGTTTCAGATTCATCAGTTCCTAGAATTTTGAGATAGTGTTGTTTCTTTTTTATTTTTATTTTCAAAGGCACACACTAATGACTCCACCACTGAGCTATATTCCCAACCCAGTGGCTTTTTTTTTAAAGTTGATGGTTTTGTCCCAGTCACTCCATTGGGTTGTCATTTGTGTTACGTGGTCTGTGTTGTCTTTGCTGTTTGATAAAAGTCAAGGGTTTTCTTGAATTGTAAATGAATTTCCTTGGTATGTTATTTATTGGTTGACTAAAATTATAAAACATTAACCCATCAAATGTAAATTCAGAAAGCATTTTGATCTTAATGGATGGAAGGGTATTACTGGGCATAAATATTGACTTTTTCCATTATAGTTTACTGCAAGTTTAACCAAAATAATTTTTCCCTCAAATGTTTTGTGATTAGACCTCTAGAGGATGGACCACCTTGAAGAAGTGCCTGCCACCGAGCCTTAGATTTATGTGGATTTACAAGCATCAAGAGACTAGTGGAATCCTTTTAACATATAAAAGCCAGGTGCTTTGCCAAATGCCACTTGTTCTGTGAAGCCTGCACCCAAATATGTAGTGAGATCAGACATTTTCATCATCTTAGTGTCACATGACTCAACAGTTTCCACTCATTTTAAATGTGCCACTTTGTACTGCAGGTCTTTAAAACCCTTAAAATAAGTAAGTGGCACGTAGAGACCTTTAGGAATGAAGGGAGATCATTCATCAATGGGTCATGCTCACTTCTGGATGTTGCCAACCTGGCTAAACCCTGGTATTGCACAGATTTTGACAGGAGTTATTTCCTGCTCTGCCAAGAGCAATACGGAAGTTTAACACCTTGTCGAACTAGTCCAGTGCTTTAGGACCACACTAAAACCCTTTCCCCACATATTCGCCCTTTATTTCACTGGAGACCTCAAATACGTGAGGAACCAAGCCATAGCTTTGCATTTGCTGAACATTACCTACCATGCCTTCACTATAAGATTTCAAAGGTTAATTGTATTTTACTTACATTGGATACTTTGACTGTAACCCATAATGTGAATAACAGTTGCTTATACATTGCTGCTGTTGGTCAGGCAAGTGCTTGTCATGGTTGTTTTTTAAAATCTGGTCAAACACCGGAATAGTGAAGTTGTAAGCTCTGAGAGAGCAGGGACCATGTCATCTTCCATCTTGCATCTAGACACTCAATAATTATTTGTGGATCTGAGGTGTCTCGGGGTATTTGTGAGTTTATTCACGGAGGCAGTAACAGCCAGCTTTTAATGGTGGTATTAAGTCCCAGGAGTTGTCTGTTCGGTTAGCAGTCATGGAGATACTAAAATTAATAAAGGAAGTCAATTCCAAGCAATCAATAGCACCCTGGAGACGTGTGTGTTTGTGCGTGTGTCTAGAAAGCACCTTAGGACACCTTTTGGTGATTCCAGGGTTGGAGTATTTGATGGACACCTTCAGTTGTCTGGGTGTGGGCATCACGTTCTGTAAACTGCATTTCTTGCCCTCTCAGTCTCTACTCGGCCCGAAGAGATGAACACGTAGTATGGTCCCCTGCTCCTCGGCTTTTATCTGGACACTGGGCTCCTCTCTCTAGCCCGTATAGTCAGCCATCACTAGGTATTAGGTGTGTGCTTTAATTTAGGTCAACGACATAAACTTTTGGCAAGCAGGGCCGTCCTTGTGTAACCCACAAAAACCCGTAACCTTTTCTTTGACTCGCACCACGTACCCTCTTGGTCTCAATGTGGCAACCAGAGCTTCCTAGGGGAGAGGTGCATCACGATGAAGCTATTTCTGGCCCCCAGCCTGCTCTCTGGGAGGTGGGGACCTGAGCTGCTCACGCTGTCAGGCGGCCACTACTCCCGCCGCTGATGGCTTTTTCCCGCCCGGAGCCTTGTGCAAGGGACTCGACGGCTGCAGGCAAAGACCACGGGTTTCCACACGGACTCGGCGCGGGGCCTGCCCCAGTATTCCCAGCGCCCCATGGCTTTCGCCACAGCTTGTTTCCTTAAGTGTGTGCTCTGACTCCTGAGGAGTTTAGTCAGAAACAAAACCCCGAAGCCGCTAGCTCCGCCAGCTCCGGGGTCCCTCCCCGAGCGGTCGCCTCTCGACCTCCCGCGCGCGGGCCCGGCGGTGCGGGGCAGAGTCGGAGCGGCTCTTCCGGCGCAGGCGGCGGCCCGGCTCCTCCGCGCCGCGCCCCCGCCGCTCCCCCGCGCGGCCTGAGGAGGCGCCGCCCGCCGCCGCCGCGACTGAGGGAATGCGAGCCGGGCCGGCGCGCGCGGGAGGCAGCGGCCGCTGAGGCGCGTGGGGCACGGCGGCGCCGGGGCTCAGAGCGCTCCTGCCGGCCCGGCCCGCGTCCCCCTCAGCCTACGCTCACCAGAGGCCACAGCGGTCGGTGGCCCGAGTCCCGCGCCAGCACGTGCGCCGCCGCCGACGGCCCGGAGCATGCCCGCCGCCGTTCGGACGCTCGCGCGGGGCCAGCTGGCGGCGGGGGCGCGCGGGGCCACGGGGTGCTGCCGGCCGGGCCGGGGCCGTGGGGCCCGCGCTACCCGGGACACGGCTTGAGGCGGCGGCCGAGGAGCCTGGAGTGCGGCCGGCCGAGCGGGTGAGTGAGCGGGTGGCGGGCGGCGGGAGGACGGCGGGCGGACGGCGGCCCTTCCGGGCCGGGGGAGCCCGCAGTGCCGGGCAGCGGTGTGCGCGGCCTATTGGGCCCTCGGGACGCCGCGCGGGAGAAGCGTGTGAGGCTCGGGACCCCCGCCTCCCCATTCGGACTATCAATGCTGATTCCTCAATTCCTCGGTTGTGGAGGGACTCCCCCCCCCCTTCCCCCAGTGACAAGTGTCACAGCAGGTCACGGAGCAGGTGTGTTTGCAGTGCCAGGGCAGGGCTTGCCCCAGGAGACCACCA